CCCCAAAACCCCAAAACCCCAAAACCCCAATAGACTAGATAGATTAGTTTTATAACAGTAAATTTAAATAAAATATAACATGATTTGTTAATTAATTCATTATTTCTAAACAATCAATCAACTTTATTACTTTTTCTACTATGGGAGCCTGTTGTGAACTTAATTTAAGTAAAGACTCTAAGTTTGTCAAAGAAACTTTAGACTAAATCACGTTTAAAAAGAGCGAAAACTAAGTCTATAGAATTAAGCATTAAAAGATTTATGATGATATCATTTAATCAATAATCTCTAATGATCTTAAGGCCCTTGAAAGATTAACTAAATTCTCAAACTCTAATATTTATATTGAACAAGTTAGGGGCTTCGAAGGAACTAACAAAAAAATAATATAGAGTAGTGCTATAAATGTCAATATGCTTAATCCCCTCATGTTTGCGGTTATGTACTCAAAATTAGATGCTTTGAAGTTACTTAATGATGCTACTTAAGTGAATTATAATTGTTGTCTATCAAATACTAATTTCAAGAACGAAATGACGGAGAAATAGAATAATTTGTATCCGGAAAATGGCCATTAATTAACCTTAATAATGGTATGTATGAATAAAGATAAGAAGATGCTTACTTATTTACTAAATGATTTGTATTTGATTTGGGATTGGTAAGATTTTAAGAGACTCCTAAAAAGTATCTTTAAGGACTAATGGGCCGAAGGTATTCCTATAATGTTTTAGTCTTGTGCCTTCAAGTCCCTTTGTTGTTCTGAGGATTTGTCCAACCTCATTGAAATATTTCGCTTAAATGTATTAGAGGTCTTAGATATGTACCCTAGCTATGGGCACCTTATTGAATAGGTCTTTGATATTGTGTTGGATTAAGTTTACTCGCGAGTGCTGTTGTTTTATATGATGGACTATCGAACAATACTGAGCAGATAAGTTTAGTTATCTAAAATAATTCAAAATATCTCTCAGCAAGATGTTCTCAGCGATTCAAATCTTTATTAGTAGCTATTATTCACTCTAAATGAATAGCTAGAGGATCATGAATACATCTACGATGAAGATTAACAAAATATTTTGATAGAGCTTTAAGATGTGATAAGAAGATATTAAGGTCTTAAGCAAGTTAAATTTGCAGATGTTAGTGCTGAAATTATGCACTATATTGCAGAAGGTTTATTCAAAAAAGTAGTTGAAACTATTGAGAACAATTAAATTTATGATGCATGTTAGATAAGAGATAACTCTTCAGAGCCTCTACAATTTGTTAATAAAAAGAAAGAACTATTAGCTGTGATTGGTAGTGAATCTGAAGCAGACTTTTGTATTGTGAACGCACTCCATCTAGCACTGTTTTATGAAAGACAAGACATTTTACATTACTTTGTTTCAAAAATGAAAGTAAATTTAATGAAAGCAATCAGAGATCCTATTAATGGCTCAAAGGTTAAATTCTTAATAAATTTAGCCTATGTAAAAAGAAATATGAAATTATTTATTGGAATATGGGAGGACTATGCCTAATTGTTTGGATATTGTGACTTATTAGAAGCAATTCAATTATTAAGTTGCAATAGCAAATTCAAATTAAGAATGCTAGATAAGTTACTCATGTCTCGAAATTCGATCGCTATTTTCTTGAATTTACCTTTGAAGAAAAGAATAATTTTTATCAAGGAAGTTTTTGACAAGATTTAGTAGATTGATCTTACTTTATCAGAATACTAGGATACTGATTCAAGTTCTATTCAATTCCTTAAAAGCTAGAGTTAATCTTAGGTGGTATTGAACAAGCATACTCCCTTGCTAGTTAGTAAGGGTATGCCTCCAATATAGAAATCTTCATTCAATGGGCATAAAATGTCAATGCTTACTCAGGAATCGACTCCTTCAGATTTTCTATAGATACCTCAAGTTAAAAATAGCTACGTGCTTGGAGCCACAAACTCTGATTAAAGCCAACAATTGGCTCATGAAGATACAAAAAAGAATTTCGAACTTTAGTAGCGAAGTTCTAAGTTGAAAAATCAATTGCTAATTATGTTTACCAAATAACCATTTTCACTTTGCACTCTACTTTTGTCTCTAGAAGTATGTCCTGATATATTTAAAAGAAGTTTACTAGAGCTAACAGAGAGAGATGTAGATGACTTTATGAGCCATCTACCAGTTAAAGCGTATAAGATTTACTCTACCTCAAAAATTTTTGCAAAGAGCTCATACTTAGAAAAATTGACGATCGAATAAAGAGAGTTTTATCATGCTGTTAAAGATGAATATAGATAGATAGCAGTGAAAGTTATGAATCACCCTTTATTTGAACAAGTAGAATAAGCTTTTGTCAAACAAAAGGGCTAATCTATATAAACAAAAGGGTAAGCCATAAATGAATGACTTGAATTCTGAAGATATATAAGGTTTTCAGAAACGTATCCATAAAAATCTACTTTTCTTATAAATAGGGAATATACAATTATTAGACATTTTAAATTTAAAGCAGCCTTGATTTCATTTCCTTTCAAAATATAATTTTAAAAAAGCAATTTAACTTAATTCATTCTAAATCTTTGAAAAATGGGGTTTTGGGGTTTTGGGG